CTCTACCACAGTGTAGTACAGTGTACCACAGCGCTTTTCTGGTCAGAGTTAATCTTGAGATCTTCAACTCCTCATTTTTAATATCACCAGCTTTATAAAGAGATGTCAACAAACAGGTTTTAGTCTGTGTACCAAGAAATTTTAAACTCTCTTTGTTCTAGCTCTTCTACCTTCTTTTTATTCTTTTTCTTTTTTTTTTCTAAGCTTTTCATTTTGTGAGCGCATTTTTTCCTTCATTATTCTTATTTTCTCCGCAGCCAAACAAGCATTTTTTTTGAAATGTGTTATCAATACCCACCGTTTTGACCATGCGTTCTTTGCGACAGTGCTTTAGGAATTCATTGTCCTCTTTTTGAGTCTTTGTTCCTCATTGGATCAATCTTTATCAAGTTAAGACTTTAAGAAGTTACACTTATGTATTGGAAATAAGAAGTTTCTTTCATTTAGAAAGTTTCTTGCAGTAGCTTCCAATTATCATGCAAAGCTAGCAATTCAAGTATTTTTAATCTTTTTTAAAACTTAATGGAGGGTGGTGAAAATTAACAATATATATTGTTAATTTTCACCACCCTCGATTAAATTTTGAGCTGGAACGATCAAGTAGAAGTAACAATTTTAGAATACGAAGACAATTTACCAATTCAAGAATTCGTCATTATTTCTTCACAAACAGAGTTACAAACGATTAGAATTCTCTTCCTCAATGTATAATAGATAAAGATAAGGTAAATCTTTTTAAAAACAGCATGGATAAATATTTTGGTTTCTGAACACTATATTTTGTAATCGGCTGTCATAGTCCTAATTCTACGTAACTAAGACTCGACACACCTCAAGTGTGTACAGCATCTTTTCTATTCTATTCTAAAAATATTTATCAATGACTGAAAAGATTTAAAACTTTCAGTTTATTCAGCATCAATTCTGGGAACAAAACAAACGGCGGGGGCGGTGACGCAAAGTTTTAAAAAATTATTGAAAATTAGCTGTTGGTTTATTCCTCACCATAGTATAAAACAAATATAAGCATATTGTTAAATTTATGAAAATAAAGTCAATATTAAATTCTAAAAAAATTAAATTCTAAAAAAAACTGTTGAAAAATGTGTGACACTAGAATAAAATTGTTTTAAGCGAGTTATGAAAAAAATGCCCACTCACGCATTTATTAGGAGCCCTCTACCCCACATTCCATCTTCCGTTTATTAGACTTGAATTGCAATTTCTATTCTCCGTTTTATTCTCATTTAGAAAGTAGGTAATTTGAGTTGATATTCTAATTTTTGAGTTATAGCAAACTTTGTGTGAGCAGCATTTCGGGACTGGAAATATTTCTATCCTTAATTGATCTGAATCCTGAAAACACAGCAGGATTTAAAAGGATTTAACAGGATTGCTACCTGTGTTACTAAATTGAAAACAAGATTTTCAAAAAGGATTACAGATATTAGAAAACATGGTGACAAAATTAAATTGTTCACAGTACCACTCTCTGTTAAAATTGAAACTGTACCAAAAAAATTTCAAATTTAAGTGATGTTCACATCATTAATGTTTTGAGAGAGGTATATAATCAACAAAACCTGATTGCAACCAGTTAGTTGCCAATTGTCATTAAAAATATTTTGAAAAAAAAGACAGGTTTGTAATTAAAGTTATTATTGTTATTTACAAAATTAAAGTTTGTTAATTAAAATATTTGTACATTACATAACAGCTAGCTCGTATATGAATGCGTGGTGTTCCTTTGCAAGACCATATTTAATAAATTAAAGAAATCAATATTTTTAAATAAAATATTTTTAAAAACGTTTAGCCCCCAGTTAACAGCTAAAAAACTACCTTTAAAAAAGTTGTAGGCACCCCTGCTTTACACGCAATTTTATTACCAAAAAGTAAAAGAAGTCATTGTGTTTTTAAACTTTTTAAATGCTCTACATATATATATATATATATATATATATATATATATATATATATATATATATATATATATATATATATATATATATATATACATATATATATATCACAGTGTCACGAAATGGTCATCAACCTTAACCTCATGTCCCGAGATAACCCTTTGGTGGGATGATAGCCCACATATAGTAGATCACTTAGATATAAATTTGGAAATCGAACTATGACGTCCGAGAGAGATATTTTAGTTTTTATTTTTTTCAATTCTGGCATATCAAAATTTAAACGAGATGATACGAATTTGGCATTTTTTCAGTATTTATAGAGCAAAAAGTTAATTTTCCCATATATTTTTATAAGACATATAAACAAAAACATATTTTACAATAAAATTGATCCTTTTTATTCTAAAATGAATGTTTGCTGTTGAAATCAATCACACAATTCAGAATCTTTGATTCATATTCTGGATGGTTTCTTGCCCGTTTGTAACGCTGCCAATGGGAACTGAAGTCGTGATGAAGAGATTCTGTAGCTTGCTCTGAGAAAATGCCAAGACTAGAATTGTGTCTAAGGATGAAATCCTTCAGGTGGAAAAACACCGCATGTGCTTTGGGAGTGACTGAAGTATTTGGCAACTTCAGGTACGACTCCTGAAACTGTAAAATTTTTTGTTTAAAATCGGGGCTCAAGTGATTTCCAAAGCAAGCATTCACCACTGAGTCAAAATGTCTCAATGTTTCAAAAAAAGGCACAGCAAGAAAAAATGAGCTTTGCTCAGCTAAACTTTGAAGGCGATCAGTGTTTTTCAAGAGCTTGCGGCAGTCATTCCCTGCAAATTGGCCACCATGAAAAGACTGCTCTTGAATATGAAGGGCTGCTGGCCATTCCTTTGCTGCGGGCCAAATCTGGCATAAACTTTTGTAGAGATGGTTAACGACTCCAAGAAGCAGATGAAGTTCCATGGGAGGAATGATGTCCAAAATCAGTGTGTCATCTGGCAGAGTCATTATGGGTTCATGGATGACGTTTTTGAAGTCTTTTGCTCTCCTTGCATTGGCACCACTGCTTTGAAACTGCAGAAAGTTTTCTCGAATTGAACCAAGTGTTCTGAGACTTCTAGAGCGACTCAAATCTTTTGATTCTGCATCACACCATGAACAAGGATGTGCACTTGCATGGGACTGAAGACCACAAACAAGATTGGCAACTTTCATGTCACAAGAGATTATGTAGGAAAGTTTGTGAAGTTGAAGAGAAGAAATTATGCTTTTCAAGTTGTCATAACTCTCTGGCAGATCTTCTGAAATTGCCACCAGAAGTTGCCGTTTGACTCCTGTGTCTTTAAGCCCTCGTTTTGGTGGTGGAGAATTTGAATCTGTGTTTCTGGCAATGATTCCAAGAGATACTTTTAAAAACCCACCACCTCCATCAATGCCAATCTTCATCAGCGGATCTCCTGAAACATTCCTTACTTTGATAACGTGATTTGCAAGACTTCCTACATCTGGGCAAAAAACAAGCAGTCGTGAAGGGTGCTGGTCATCATTCTTTCTAGAATCTCGTATTGCCTTGGTCTCAAAATGCTCAGAAAGAGATTTCCCAAAACTGTCGAATTTTTCTCTGAAATTTTTTTCTACAATCCGGAGAGGTGTAGCTTGGTTCAAAGATGATGCCAATTTGGACATGCCACGATTTGACAATCTAGTTCCAATTTGGACTCCAGCCATGTCTTGTGCCGTGAGCTTGGGCACAGCAGGAGACAATTCTATTGCACTTGATGGTCCTAAAGAACATTTAATGACCGAGGTTAAAATTTTCTACATTTACATTTTAAAAAAGATTTATAAGTGGTTTATGCTTAAATCTATATTGCTTTACCTGGAACAACGGGAAAACGATTTCCTCCAAGTGGTTGACTTAGCCGAACAGTGCCATGAGGTGATGGAGTTTTATTAGCAATTGTTAATGATGCTACCCTCTCTGCCGCAATGCGATCCCTCGAAGCAACTTCCACTGAATTTTGCCTTAATGTTCCTGTTGTGCAATTGTGAGGCAATCCACGACCAATCACAGAGAAGCAATCAGAGCACCTTTTTTCAATACTTGAATTTTCTTTGGGTTTCGGTGGTTCCAAAGGATAACGCTGATTCATATTTGTCCTTGCAGTTTGACAAATCAAACAATTACAAGGAATATTTGTTGCAGCACGCTGAACTGAGATGGTGCTGAAATCAAAGAGCCTTGGGATAGGTGCATCTTCCCCTTCTTCTCGTCTGCGAATAGCCACACGACATCTTTCACAAATTCCACAAGGGATTTGAAAGTTTGAAAAATCAAGCTCAATTTTGAGGACTGTGCGAATTTTCTCCACTAAAAAACTTGTGATTTCTCGATTTGCTTTATTTAAACATAGGAAACAAACACATTTTCGGTTTTCTTCATGAGTTTTAGCTTTGTTAGGCATTTTATCAAACTTTCAATGTGTCTTATTTGAAAAAAACTGAATGTGCACCCTTTTCCCGGAATTAGCAAAATTGAAAAACAAACAAAAAATAATAATGATTTCAAAAAACCTGCTCCAATTAGTTATATAATGTCTTAAATAGTACTCTAAGCAACGTAACAACAAAAATGCTGTAAAAATGCCAAATTCCTATCATCTCATTTAAATTTTGATATGCCAGAATTGAAGAAAATAAAAACTAAAATATCTCTCTCGGACGTCATAGTTCGATTTCCAATTTTATATCTAAGTGATCTACTATATGTGGGCTATCATCCTACCAAAGGGTTTTCTCGGGACATGAGGTTAAGGTTGATGGCCATTTCGTGACACTGTGATATATATATATATATATATATATATATATATATATATATATATATATATATATATATATATATATATATATATATATATATATATATATATATATTATATATATATATATATATATATATATATATATATATATATATATATATATATATATATATATATATATATATATATATATATATATATATATGTATATATATATATATATATATATATATATATATTTGTTTTTTGTTAGGAACTGAATCTTGGGGTGACGATTTTTTAAAATATTCATCACCCAACGTAACCCACAATATAATATCATTGCGACTTAAAGGAGATCCAGTAGATTTTGTCAACAATAAAATTCTTAGTTCTAATATGACAAGCAATTTAAACTGTTATAATCCATGGTATGAAGAATTTTTAAAAAAGAACAATTGGAATGGCGTAACGTGTACTCCTAATTTGACAAGTACATTACCAAAACGAAATATAAATCAAGTAGTAGGTGCTGTTTATGCTCTAGCATATGGATTGCATAGCTATTTAAATTGTACTTCTGAAAAATGCTTTACGCTTTCAGACACTATTGATTACAAACTTCTATACAATCACGTAGTTAATACAAGTTTTAACGTTCCCACAAGTAACTATCGTGTTAAATTTGATGAAAATGGAGACTTTTTTTATCCTGCATATGAGTACATCTTTGTATATAAAAATAATTTTACAAAGTTTGGATTCTGGGAATACACTTTTAATAAATCCGCAGTTTTAGATATAGACAAAAACGTTATTGTTTGGAAAAATAACTTACAACCAAAATCTGTTTGCAGTCTGAATTGCGAGCCTGGTACATACAGAGTCAATTCTTCTATATCAAAATGTTGCTGGATTTGTGTACAATGTCCTCATGGTTCGATTTCAAGCTCTGTCAACCAATACGAATGCACAAAGTGTTTAATTACATCTTTAGAAAATTCAAATCAAACTCAATGCATTGATTTGTCTGAAGTAAGCTTGAGTATTTTTAGTACAGCGGGAATATTAATTATTATTGGATCGATATCAGGTGTATTGGTTGTAACTTTAGTATTGATTTTGTTTTTTATTCATTGGAACAATCCAGTTATTAAAAGTTCAAATAGAGAAATGTCTTGTATCCAGCTAATTTCTCTTAAGCTCTTGTTCTGCGTTGCATTTTTTTATTTTCACAGACCTACTCCAGCAGTATGCATGTTAAGAACTTCGTTGTTCGGATTCTTGCTAACAACTGTAGTTGCGTTTGTCGTTGTGAAAATGTATCGACTGCTTCGTGTTTTTAATGGCAGGTTCACAAAAGTTTCAAAATTTTTAGAAAATAAATTTCAAATTACGTTCACTTTTTCACTTGTTTTAATTCAAACAGTAACAGTTATAGTTTGGCACGCATATTATCCAACTAGGGTGCAGACAATTCCAAACTCCATTAGTAATGAGTTTTACCTTATCTGCAATAATGAAAAAACAGTTTTTATAATTTCGTTGATATACTTTTTTATTTTGGCTATTGTGAGTGGATGCATGGCATTTCGAGCTCGTAAGCTGCCCGAAAATTTTAACGAAACACAAAACATTGGTTACGCTATGTTTATTGTTTGCGTTATTTGGTTTTCATACCTTCCTATTTATTTCAGTGTTGATCCACACGAATCTGTTGTGGCGTTTTTATGCACTAATATATTTTCATGCTATGGCATGCTAATAACTTTGTATGCTAAGAAGATAGTTTATATTTTGTTTAATCGGGGTTTAAACAGTGTTGAATTTTTTCATACTTGTTCTTCCGAAAATGTTTTGCATAATTTTGTTGAAAAGGTTGTTCTAGAAGATGGTTCTACTCTTAATGTAGTACGCAACGTTATTATTTATAATACAAATGCAAATTCTGATTTAGCATGTTAGAGTTAAAGTTCATTGACTTCATTGGATATCGATAAATTGGATATTTTATTGAGTTAACTGTTTTTTTTATTAACTAAACCCTTAGAATATTAGGGCTAAAACAAGTTAAACGCAATGACATGCTTTTCTAATCAACCAAAAAGTTTAGTTCATGCACTAAAACGCGTAAAATCTATCGATGATGACAAAAGATCCATCGATAATGACAAAAGATTCATCAATAATGATAAAAGATCAAATCTTTTTAAAAAACAAAAAAATTAATAAATTTTGAAAAATAACTTACAACTTATTTCTAAAAACAATTTAATTTGTTATTTTATATTCATATATACAGTTGTTTTTAAAAAATAAGGTCACTTGTTTAAGCAATTTTTTAGTGATAACTTTGAAATTAAAAAAAAAAATGATTTTTTTTTAATTTTCAAATTTGAATAAAAGAGATTCTTTTATTTTCAATACATTATATAACAAAAATAAATGAAAAATTTTAAAATATATAGTTTTGGTACTAAAACCAATCAAAGTTTCAATTGCGCAACCCTTTCCACATTCTCTCAATAATTTCTTGTCCATTCATTACCTTAATATATATAAATATATATAAATATGGATCTGTATACATATGCGTATATATTTGTGTATATCTGTATGTATGTATGTATGTATGTATGTATGTATGTATGTATGTATGTATGTATGTATGTATGTATGTATGTATGTATGTATGTATGTATGTATGTATGTATGTATGTATGTATGTATGTATGTATGTATGTATGTATGTATGTATGTATGTATGTAGGTATGTATGTATGTATGTATGTATGTATGTATGTATGTATGTATGTATGTATGCATGTATGTATGTATGTATGTATGTATGTATGTATGTATGTATGTATGTATGTATTTATGTATGTATGTATGTATGTATGTATGTATGTATGTATGTATGTATGTATGTATGTATGTATGTATGTATGTATGTATGTATGTATGTATGTATGTATGTATGTATGTATGTGTATGTGTTTATTACAAAAATTACAGACAAATACAATTATTTATGAGACACCAAGTATACTTTGGAGTGTAAATAATTCTAATTTTAGCTATCTATCGCATAATGGTTTTCCTATAATGAACAAAATGTTATTAAAAAGTTATTGAAATCAAACACTATATAAAATATTAAAATGTATTATTTTCAAAAATTGGATAATGATATTTTAAATATCCAAGAAATAAAGAACCAAGCTCACAATAAAAAAAGTAAAATAATCTGTTTGGGAAATTGATTGCTACAATCAACGTAAATTTCGTGAACCTTTTAAACCAAGAAAATTTAGCAGCTCTACCAGTTTAACAAAGGATTGTCTATATTATATATATATATATATATATATATATATATATATATATATATATATATATATATATATATATATATATATATATATATATATATATATATATATATATATATATATATATATATATATATATATATATTAGGGTGGTGCAAAAAAATTTTTTTTTAAATTTCTTTGATGGTACCATTTCTTTATGTGACATTATGTGTAGGAACAACAATCATGAAGTTTGGGCATGATTGAATAATTTTTAAAGGTTGCTCATCAACATCAAGTTTTTTACTTTTTGGGTTTGAGTTCTCTTTTTAGTGTGCAATCCCAAATTTTGAATAAATTATGATACAACATTGCATTTTAACTCTTACTGTATATTAATCCAAAACCATGCAGTATTTTTTAAACTGAATTATATATATTATTGTTTACAAATAAAATAATTGAAGAATAAAGTAATAAACTTCTAGTTTATAATAACGTATTTGTGTTCACTATAGTAAAGACAAATTTAAAAAACAATAATAGTTCCAAAAAATCTTAAAAATTGTTAGAGTTTTAGGTTTCATTTATATTTCAGCTTCTTTGCAAAAAATTATTGTAATCTATGAAAAAAAATTCATTGGTTTTTGTTTCCATCGTTTTTTGATGACTTGGTTCCATCGATCAACAAAGATTTCTGTGGCAGAGGAAACTTTGACCTGTGTTCAGAGACTACCTGCAACAAGAATTGCTTTTGTTCTTCATTTTTGGTAATTGAACAATTAAAATTCTGAATTAGTTTTACTCCTCTTTCAGCCGTATCATTAACAACTCGTAGACTTTTTACAATTTTTTCTGCCTGTTGAAACTCTTCATTTTCGGTCCACTTGTCAGGATCAACAGTTGTCAAAAAAGTAGTTGGTAATTCCAAAATGTTGAAAAAATTTAAGGTATTCTCTGTTACAAAACTTTCTATTTGCAGATTTTCAATTGAAGTTAAATCGACTTTTATTCTTTTCTGTGGTTCATCCTCTCCAGCATTTTGTAGAGCCAAAACCATTTTTGCTTTTGTTTCCTTGCTGATCTCCTTATCAAAAAAAGCCAATGCTACCATTTCTTCACTTAGATACCATAAATGCCTCGAAAATGCTGTTGCTGCAGCTGTAAAAATTCCATTGTTAATGGCTTTATGTTGAAAAACAGTCTTCAAGAAAGTGAGATCATTCGACGGAGCAAGTGTTGGATTGGTACATGATATCCAAAATTTGGTGTACACCAAACTAGCAAACAAGCTAATACCTCGAAGTGATTTTTCTTCTTTTGCCGTTAATTTGAACTGCCTTTTGAACATCCATATTTTCATTGAATATAAAATTTTGGCCATCCACCTTCCTCTGTGTATGGCTCCGGGAGCCATTACATAGCCCCACGAGGAGGAACATCACCAAGAAACAACAAGGTTAGTTCCAACAATTCCTTGTAGTCATCTCGATATTGTTTACCAGATTCAAGAATTGTTTTCAAATAAAATAGTGCATCCTGTTTGAGTATGGTGTGAGAAACCAAAATGTCCGAACATGTTTGATCATTTAACGCTGTTTCATAATTATTTTTGTCAATTAATGACCACTTGTCACGAAAACGTTTAAATAATCCTATTTCAGGACCACTGGATTGCCCAAGAGAATGCTTAAAAACATCACTCAAGATGATTTCATACATATGATGACGGCATGCCAAGTGTAATAGTTCTCTATTAAGCTTTTTTTCAATTAAAGTACACGCTCCAGCTTCGGTACCAGTGTTGGCAGCCGTTGTATCAAAACTAATTGCTTTAACTCGGTCTTGAATGTCCCAATCTAGTAAAGTTGTTATAACAGCTTCACTTATTGCTTTACCAGTAAACTTGTTTACTTTGAAATGCCAAGAAGCTGGTCAACGTTGTAACCTGTAACAA